GGTGGCGGTGGTTGCGACAGCAATGACGGTGATGGTGGCAACGGCGACAATAGTGGTGGTAGTGGTGGTAGCGATGGTAGTGGTGGTGGCGATGGCGGTGGTGGTGGCAATGGGAGTGGGAGTGGGAGTGATAGAGATAGTGGTGGAGTAGTTTCAAATACTAATTTTTTTTAAAGTATTTATGAGTAATAATTTCTAAAAGTACTTTTAAAAAATCATTCGAAACACACCCTTATGGACCTATTTTTTTTATTAAATTTAAAGTGTTAATATTAGTCATTAGATTAATTTTAAAGTAAAATTTAAAACGATCTCAATCACAAATAACAAAAATTATTTTATTTATCTTTTGAAATTTGAATTATAAACTACTTTATTATATAGATATTATTGAGGCAGAGTAACTTATATTATAAAGACTAAAAATATAATTTGGGGCCCCTTAATTTTTGGGCCATGAGCAAACATTTTCACTTACTTATAGTTTCAGCTGGCCCTACCTAAACAAACTCCTCTCGGACATTTTCAAGTCGTAAAGGTCATTGCTAATACTAGGCCTAGTAATCGTGTCGAGTGAAATGGTTTCATATCGGATGAAACGGGTTTGTATCAAAAAAAACTTTATCCATATCTTATTTGTTTATATAAACGAGTTCAACTATCACATTTATACACGAATCATTTATTAAATGGGTTACCCGATATAACCTCTGTGTCACCCGCTAAATAAGAGAATAGATTAGAGTAATTCGAGTACACACGAAAAATCATCAACTTGCTACACATTTCACATGTTTGACCTATTTACCATAATAATAAATCATGGTTGATCAAAAAAATAAAGACAAAAAATAAAAATTAAATGACTACTAAATTTGAATGAGTCTAATAGATGAGAGGTGTAAGATAAGGTAGAGGTTGAGAGACCTAAATTTAAAAAAAAAAATTATAATACAACTGTTAATGGGTTAAACGGATTGAAGCGAATTTATGGGTAAAACACGAAACCGGTTCATTTATTTTACAGGTCTGCTGAGTTAACCCGTTAACCACCCGAACCCGTTAAGACTACAACCAAACCCGCTAAATCCGTGTCGAATTCATGTCGATTTTACAAGTCGTGTCTAGAATTATCAGGCCTAGGTAATAGACAAGGCTCCTATCTACATGGGTTTTGAGAAAGATAAATGGTAACATTACTCCCATTATAAAGAAGTTGATTCTCATGCTCAAAATTGTCTTGAATGGATAAACACTTATCGATCACTCCAAATCTGATCTCTACTTTAAGAACACCTTCACAATTTCCCAATTTAACCCATTCTTAACATACTTTTTTCTTTTTAGAATTAATTTTAAGAAAATATGATGAAGGGCCTAGAGGGGCCTCTTTTGGTAAGATAACTATTTTCTTAAGTAGGTATATTGGCAGATTCAACTAACTACTGCTGTTCTTCTCAATTGGAAACTGTCAGTATATTTACCTATAGTGCCAAAGTATAGTTTCGTGAATGTGACACATTCCAAAGCCCCTTTTTAACTTGTAGAAAACTTTCAAACATTGAGAAAGTTTGAGTTCAAAAATCTT